TCAGTGTGTGGAGCTGTTGCAATGCTCAAACAATCAGCCGGTATGACTTGGCCAAGTTGTACCTAACTCATCCTTGTGTGTTCTTGTTTCGTGTAAACAATGATTCTCACATGACTGGTGTACTTGGAGACGTCTTGGTCGACTTGGCCGAGTTTTCTGTATTGATTTGCGGCGTATAATTTGACATTCCGTGATGTTAACAGGATAACTTGAATATTTCTTCATGTCCAATTTCTTTTTATCTAGCATTTCGTGTGTTCTAACGTTCTCCAAATGTTTCAATCAATGCGTCTCAATGTCCTCAAGATGAATTACACTTAGACCTTCAACCATGGTTGGGTGGCCATTAATTTGTTATCATGTGACGATGAAGTTCAATCAATGCATCTCAATGTCCTCAAGATGAACTACGCTGAGACCTTTCAACCATGGTTGGGTGGCCATTAATTTGTTATCATGTGACGATGAAGTATCAAACCTAAGCAAATGATCAACCTTTTCTAGAAGAAAAAAATTGCTCTTATTAAGCGAAAATGTTGTATTCAGCCAATGCTAACCTTCCATTAATACTTTAAAGTTATAGTTTTTGGATTTTTATTTATTTTAACGAAAAAAATGGACAACAATAACTTATTGCAACGATTGACATAATTTAAGGATTAACTTGAGACAATTAAAATTTAAGAGAGCAAATTGAAGAACGTCAATATTTAGGTGGCCTCGGTGACATTTACCCCGCTTTAGTGGTCATATATACACACATACAAAAAAAATTAATCTAATATTATAACTGATGATGCACAAATCGATATTGCGTAAAATCAACAGTCGAGTATATCAAGAGACACAATTAATGAGCAGTAAATAGGCAATCAATAACAAAACAGTAAATATGGAATCAACACAGAGATTTATAGTAGTTCGGTTCAGCTGACCTACTCCACTTTCGAGAACGGCAGTGGTAGCCGAAGATCTTTATTGATGAATAAAAGTCTCCAGAAGAGTTACAATGCTTTTGGGAGGGAGGGAGAGACAGAGAGAGAGCAATGTGTGTAGGGAAGTGTAGCGTGTATAAAGATCTCAAGGTGGTGTCAAGATTTTAAGGTGATGTCTTTTATGTAAAGAGAGCTTACATTATATAAGCTTAGTAAGGCGGTGGGACGGTGACGTGAGGGATATGACTTTTACTATTTTGATAAATATAGTTATGGTAGAATTAGATCTCCGAGCGTATCCCGAGATTCTCTCCTCGTGCTCCTATTCCGTCAGGAGGAGAATCTTGAACTGGACCTCCTGAGTTGAGTTGGACCTCTAAGCTGGATTGGACTTGAATTGGAGTGGTAAAGTCAAGAGGATAAAACACTCCACGAGGTTACGCAAAGCATGGGACAAAGGAGAGAAAGGATCCCCCTGGGGTGGCCCCCCTTGGGCGACGCCCCTTTGGGGTAGCCCCTTAGACGGGGCCCCTTGGGGTTGCCCCTTGAGGGTGTCTCTCTTGGACTCCTCCTTGAGTTTGGCTTTCCCTTGGCTTGGGCTCTTCCTTGACTTGTTGATTTGGGTGACGTGGGCCTCCCTTGATTAATTGGATCTGTCCTAATTATTTTTGGCCTCATCAATAACTAAGAATTTCAATTGCACATTTATTTATCGATGAGAGTAATTTAATCTTCACCCAGCTTTATCAGTACAAAATTCATTTCAAAAAAAGAATTTCTGCCCAAAAACATTTTCTTTGCACCGCCCCGATGTCAGACAACCTAAGAAATAAACGTTTCTGCCCAAATACTCTTATTTTTTTTACTATAATAGAGAACTCTATTGGAGTTGCTAAAAAATTTGTACTTTCTACTTTACTTTTTCATGAAAGATAATTTTTATCTTGAAAAATATGCTCTTTAAAATGAAGAGGATTATGGGATTATGAGTTGTTTGATTTATAATAAATAAAATTGAGTGAAGATATAATAGCCCTAAAAATACCTATGTCTGTATTATCTATATCTATACTACTAATAAAAATACTTTAATATAAAAAAATTTTGATTCACTATTTTACCCTTATAAAAATTTGTAGAAACCATTATATCCTTCCATAATTAAATATCTAAATTACTATCATATCCTTATGTATTTAAAATTTCTAAATTACCTCTAACATCTTTTTTAGTGATTTGTTTCCCATGTTTAAGTATCAATTTCAATAAAAATTTTGTTGTTACACTTAAAAAATATGTGCACCATTAAATTTTTTTAATAAAGTGTTAAAAAAACCCTTCAAAAACTCTATTAATTTAACATTATTCATTGTATATACAAATATATATAATATTGTCCCTACATGCATAGACACACAATTTTCACATAAAAAGTTTAACCTTTTTATTTTTAGAATAAAAAATAATCATATATATAATTTTTAAAATCAATTTATGTTACATCAGCATAATTCTTTAGTTGTAGTAAATTTTCCAAATTATATTAAGATTTTGTGTGAACATAGATTGTAATGTATTAATCAGGTATATTAAATTTTATTTGAATGCCTAACTAATTCCTAATTACAGAAAAGTTCAAAATATAAATAGTATATTGACAATTATTTTTATTTTATTCAATGTATAATAAAAAAATCCTTACCAAATGAATGTCAAAAAGAAATTATTTTTCAAACATCACTAAAAATCACTCTCAATCACAAAATTCTAAAAAGAAATAGAACTCTAACTATTTTTTATTCTTTTTTCTTATAATTAGAACAACATATCTTGGGAACATATAAAATTTTTTACAATTATATAATAAAATATGAGCGATGAAAAAATAAGTTTGATAAATTTAATATAATATTTAATTCAGATATACATATACCTAAATTTTTTTTATTAATTTTTGTGCACGAAAATTATTCACATGTAATGCACGTGGTACATTACTAGTGACTTATAAATGTCAACTTTTGTAAAAAAAAATTGATTTCTTATTTTATCTTTAATTATTATTATAAAATCAATAATACCTTCATATTACTTTCATCTCATTTTTATTTTATATACTTATTTGACTTTTAAGTTATTTTAGACTTTTTTTTTACAATATTTGAATTCTAAATTCTTTATTACTTTCATACACTTTTTATTGCCTATACCTATTTGACTTCTAACTTATTTTGGATTTTTCTATTAATAGTATTTGAATTATAAATTGTTTTACACTCATTTATTAGTAGTGCACTTTCATACATTTTTTATATCTATGTAAATAGAAAAATGTCTAATGGGTCGGGGAGATATCTAAACAAATGATATATTAGATACTGAAATAGGGGTAAAATAGATCAATAATTAACTATAACAGTAGTTAAAAATAAGAATTAATTATTCTACACATAATTTATGATTCAATTTAATTACATATATAATTTAAAGTTTTTATAAAAAAAATTATTTAAATATATTCACTTACATCGCACTTCGTGCATTGCTAGCAATAATAAAAGGAAGAGTAATATTAGATTGACTAAAAAGAGATAAAAAAAAATAAAAATTAAATAATGTAACACTATTGTAATAAAAAAAATTATATATTATAAATTGTCAAAAATAAGACTAATTATGATAATATCATATAATTTTTTTTTTTTTTGGTCAAACTAATATGCCTCTTTGAGTAAAGAGTATTAGTGTACGACTGAGAGCCATAAATGTCACAGATGTGCATCATTTAGTATTGACACACTACAACTTCCGGGTAAATGAACCCTTGGTTGGTGACTGACTCAAAGTAAATCCCAACCAACTCCACCCAGACATTGATTCATTTATTAAAATCCCAATTAAATGCTATTTTTTTTATTATTAATACTATTTAAACTTAATTTGTTCAACTCATTTATAATATAAAATAATACAGATTTTAATAAGTTCATCCAACGACTTTAAATACATTCATTTAATGATCATCAATATTTTTCTTAAAATTATTTATATTAAATCCCTCTCTTACAAAATCTATTATTTTATATTTACGTTGCACCGTCCTCTCGAGGTTGGACTAGTCTATATAATAAAACAGGAATGTATTTGAAATTTATCTTAATAATATTTTTTCTCTTAAAATCATCATCAATCACTTATCTCACCTATCATCCGTTTGTTAGATTCAAACGTCAAATCACATGAATATATTTAATCATTTATATATTTTCTTTCTAAAAATATTATACCACTAATTTCTATCATATATTTAATTTATTTTTAATTAATATATTTTTAAAAAATTAATATAATAAAATTAAATTTTAAATACTTTAATTTTATATTATATCGTGTCGTGCATTAGTTATAACTTGCCTTATATGAGTGTGGTTGACAGGTTGGTTGTAATACGCAGCAGGCTGTGGTTTTGGCAATGACATCAATATGGTTCATTATACTTCCTGTCTTATTTTTCTGAGCAACAAATTCAATTTTAGCAGGTGGTAGATAGAAACTCATTAACTCACGCCTTCACTTCACAGCACTACAAATTTTTTGTTCATTTCATTTCTCTCTCTGTCTCACACACACACACACGCGCGCATTAACTCATACGTCTACCCCGAGTAAATATTGGGCATAAGACTTATACTAAATTAACATTATCACTTAAGATATTAATCGCCAAATAAAAAAAAAAAAAAAAACGAAATTCGTTTGTTAGTTTATCATTGAACGATTACGCTACATGGTAATATCTAATATTTCTACAACACCATAATTTTGATAATCTTTACAAGTTAATGTTATTTAAATTTAAAAAATTGATCTAATTTATTGATATAATTATGTGATAAATAATAAATACTTAATAAAAAGAAGTTTAAGAGTTACTATCACCACAATAATATTGAAATGTGTCATTATGACATCATTATATTAATTTTTTATGTATGAATAACATTATAAAGCAATATATAGGGGTTTGCACATTTGCCAGAGCTCAGTGTTCTCTCTCTCTCTCTAATGGAGTTGTTTGACGTGGTGGTTCTCTGTCTAGCAGCACTCTTCCTCCATTCATGGTGGCGATACTGGTCACTCACTGGTGGCGGAAGAAAGAACCTCCCACCGGGGCCACCAGGTTGGCCTCTTGTGGGAAACTTATTTCAAGTAATCCTCCAACGAAGGCCCTTCATTTATGTGGTTCGAGATTTACGTATCAAGTATGGCCCTATCTTCACCATGCAAATGGGACAACGAACCCTAATCATCATTACCAGCTCTGAGCTCATTCACGAAGCCCTAGTACAGAGAGGCCATATCTTCGCCAGCCGGCCACCGGACTCGCCGATCCGACTCTTGTTCAGCGTCGGAAAATGCGCCATCAACTCGGCGGAGTACGGCCCTCTGTGGCGGACCTTACGGCGGAACTTTGTCACCGAACTGATAAACCCTACAAGAATCAAACAGTGTAGTTGGATTAGAAAATGGGCTATGGAGAATCACATGAAGAGGCTTGAAAATGAGTTTCTTCAGAAGGGTTTTGTGGAGGTTATGAAGAACTGTAGGCTCACTATATGTAGCATTCTCATTTGTCTTTGCTTTGGTGCAAAAATCTCCGAAGATCGGATTAAGATTATCGAAAGTATTCTGAAAGATGTGATGATGATGACGACGCCGAAGCTGCCGGACTTCATGCCGGTTCTTATGCCGTTGTTTCGCTGGCAACTGACAGAAGCAAAGGAGCTGAGAAGAAAACAAATGGAGTGTTTGGTTCCTTTGTTAAGGGACAGAAAAGCCTTCGTGGAGAGTGGTGGAAACCCCAGCAGCAGCAGTTCAGAGATGGTAATTTTGACATATAAAACATATAAGTTTTTAAATATCTCATTTATTTTATTTACTCTAATGGACCCCCTTTTAATTTCTAAATTAAATGGATACAAATTAAATTTATTTTATTAGGGTGATTAAGTTTTCTTTTAGGAGTTTAAAACCTTGACCCATGGTTAATGTCTATCGGACATATACAATATAATTTCTAGGTTTTTGACCGAAATTAAAGAAAGAAATAATCGAAATAATCATAAATCGATAACCGACAAAAAAATATAATTGTTAGGAAAGTATACATTAATGCCTATGCGACAGAGACAATAATTCCTCGGATAGTATATATATTTATATATCAAGCTTCTTTTCTTTTAATATTTTCTATAAATTTGGCTTCGTTTTTTTTTTTTTATTTCTATAATGTTTTTTAAGTTCTTTCTTTGGCCTCTATTTGTATTTTTGCAACAACATCGACTTTTTGGGTTAGGTTAATTCCAACCTCTTGATTTTAGAGTCTTTAAAAACAAACATGCAGGAGAAATCTTTTCCTTCCCGATCAAATCAACTCGGAGAAGGAAGTCAAACTCTTAACTTTTATCACAACTTGGTTTTTCCTCTTAAGCATTCTTAAGTCCGACCTCTACTTTCTCATTTATATAAAAAAGATCTGATTTATAACAATATTTACACAACTCTTAGAAATCATAGAGCAATTCGTTCTACTTTTGTTAAACTATTGTATTTGTCAATATCTAATTTTTCCCCTATATTTTCAGCTAAAAAACAAAAAATCGACTGTTCTTCCTATTGTTCATATGCATGTGTGTAAATGGATAGCACAATAACTAGTGTTCCCACGTTGAAGTTTATAAAATTATGCAAATTTCTCCCAACAGGTGAGCCCCATCGGTGCAGCCTATATTGACTCACTGTTCCAACTTGAACCGGCCGGCCGTGGCCGGTTCGGTGAAGAGGAGCTCGTGACACTGTGCTCGGAAGTGATCAACGCCGGAACTGATACAAGTGCTACGGCGACTGAATGGGCTCTGCTTCATTTAGTCATGAACCAAGAGATGCAAGAGAAGTTGTACAAAGAAATCGTCCACTGTGTCGGAAAAGATGGCGTTATCACCGACGGCGACGTGGAGAAAATGCCATATCTCGGCGCAGTGGTGAAGGAAACCTTCCGGCGACACCCGCCGAGCCATTTCGTGTTATCACATGCAGCAACAGAAGAGACTGAGCTCGGAGGATACACAATTCCGGCGAACGTCAACGTGGAGTTCTACACTGCATGGGTGACGGAGGATCCGACCATATGGAAGGATCCCGGCGAGTTTCGGCCTGAGAGGTTCTTGGACGGCGGCGATGGGGTCGACGTTGACATCACCGGGATGAGGGGTGTGAAGATGATGCCTTTTGGCGCCGGCCGGCGTATTTGTCCGGCGTGGACTCTGGGTACGTTGCATATTAACTTGTTGCTGGCTAAGATGGTGCGTGCATTCAAATGGGTTCCGGTTCCGGGTGCCCCGCCCGACCCAACTGAGACCTTTGCGTTCACTGTTGTAATGAAGAATCCTCTAAATGCTGTTATTTTGCCCAGGAATTAGATGTGAAGGATAATTCAATATTGTTTGGATTAAATTTATTGATAAAATTCAATATTGTCGTTAGATACATAGTGGAAACCATTTAGCATTGGGATCCACTATCCATCTAACCACTATAACGTGTCAATCAATAAATTTGATCTAAGTAATATTTAGTCAATCGGTATTACTAGTCATTTGAATTCTTAGCGTGCATGGAGTATGTTAGTGGACAATTAATTTATTTTCCTTGTAATTAGTGTAGTATTTGCTAATTGCAATTATCAAACTATTTTCTTTTTTTTTTTGGTGCTAAATTATAAAATCTTCCTAATGTTATGAGGTGATGCTAGACTAACCAAAAATGATACTAATATAAATAAAATGATGCAACAATTTTTTTGTAAGCAAAAGTTATATATGGTATAAGCAATGAATATTAGTCTTTTTATGACCGTGGCGAAAAAGTTATATATGTTATAAATATGATGTATTAAACTCATAATTAATTAGATATTTTTTATAAATTTTAACTAAGTATTGTAAGTAAATTGCTCTCGATTATTCAATTATTTGATAACTAGTGTCATTTTTTCGTTAAATGATCACTATTAGTTCAATTCTCCATCTTATCGACAAAAAAAAAAAAGATTGATCAAATTCTATTGAGCTATAAAAGATAGTATATCAAAAATTAAAACCAAATCACAATTTTTAGATATTTAAAATGGCGAGACTCTAGACAGTTGGGCAACTTCCAATTTGACACGTGTAAAGACATAGCTGTTATAAGACCGAAGAGGCATTGAGGACATAAGCCAACGAGTAATGGCTCGGAGGAGCCAAGTGCAAATACTGACGCTTGTATTTAATACGACTTGACCACACATTTATGATAATATGAGTGACTAAGATAGATTTATTAATGTGTTCCTACCTCCTTAAGACCTATGTCTGCGGTCATGATGGCTAGATATTAATGGTTATTACGTCGAGTATATCTCCTCGGTGTACACGGGGGTATTGTTTCCTCGAGTATTAAACGCTCAATAATAGGTGTCAGGCACCGATCAACGACCCAAGTGCTCGGGAGTAGCCTTAAGTGTTTGACATCTTCCCGAACACTTGTTCTATCATCGTAGCATTAAATATGTAAAAATTTGGGTGGAGAACACTCAGATCTTCGTGAGTAAGAGTGTCAGGCATTGAATGTTCAGGTAAGACTTGAAGTCTTTGCATTCATTACTAATTCAGATATAAATACTACTTAGAAAAATGAACAAAGGTACGCAAAACTAGATTGACACAAAAAATACACTGCATTCAAGTCTTCAATCTTATACTAACTTAAGCTTTGGAGTGGATAAGTTGGATATTCACCTGGCCCCCTTTCTAACCTCGTGATTATTTTAAGTTCACCATACAGGCGACCGCTATCTCAATCTATTGCAGAAAATCTCTCGTGCATAAAGAAAAAGAAAAAAAAATTTCCTACCTACCAATCCTTGTGCAATGTACAAAATATTCTTTAATGAATTTTAGTATGAACAACTTACCTTAACCTTATAAAGATCAACTTTTCTTATTTTTTTTATATGTAATCAAAAATCATTTCAATCACACATCTTTTAAACTCATAACTATTACTATGTTAGAGATACATTTAATTGCCAACAAAAACATCTCCATTTGTCATTCGAGCCCTATGTGAACCCTACGTCAATGTGGTAGCCCAAACTTGTGCTGGGTCTCCTTGATAGCACAAACACAGACCACTTTAACAGCCCAAAACTTGGTTGTAGATTGCTCCGAGTTTCTGGGAGAAACAAGCTACACAAGAATAAAGAAAACTATGGTACCCAAAAAAATAAAATTGAATGGTACTGAAAAATAAAAAATTTTCTTTAAAGATGATGGATCAAGCCCAAATGGTCCAATGTATGTGGAAAGTTCAAATCCCAATTGAGGAGCTCAACCTCATTTAAAGATCCACCAAGCCCAACATAACTCAAGACCAGTTAGACTCTTTGCTTAGCCACATCATCAAGAGGGAGAGCATAGGAAGCCTTACCTGCACCGTATCTTTGACCGTATCCCATTGAGAGCACCGCAACTGTCTAGTCGTTAAGGAGAAGTCATGAGCTCCACCGGAATAGTTATGTAGTTGCTAACACCTCGCCCAAATCTGTTAGGAGGGCAACTATAAATTGTGAGCTCCACCAACACTTGGGGGGCATGATGAGCACCACACTGATTACTTAGGCATCACATTTTCTCTGAGCACGACTCTCTCCTCTCCCTCAAAGCTTGTACTCTCTGCTCTCAACACCCTTAAATTAATAAAAGACTCGGCAACTAGAGTCATTCAAGAGTGGACGTAGGTCGAGTTGACTGAACCACTATAAATTGCTTGTGTCTCTCCATCTCCTTATATTATTTCTTATATTTATTATTTACACTTGACAAGTGGTGTGCAAAATTATTTTGTGCATCATCAGTTTGGCGTCGTCTGTGGGAAAAAGACAAAATTCTCACTCCTGAACTTTCCATCCACTGAACCAATGGTTATCACTACCCAATCCATGAACCAATACGAAGACAGTCCACCACGAGAGGAGGAGGTTGCTCCTCCACCAGCCAACCCTGTCCTTAATGCTCCAGCTCCGAATCCCCAGCAAATGTTAGAGACTATGCAGCAGCTGGTGGCCCAAAACCAACAACTACTGTAACTCATGCTTGCTGGCCAAGGAGGAACACAACATGGAGGACCTCAAGGATGAGCACAACTCGGAGGTGCACAACATGGAGGACCCTAAGGAGCTCTACGCGCTGAACACCAAGGAGCTCCACGCCTAGGAGTCCCCTTGGGCGCTCTACTCAAGGGAGCCCAACATGAGGGAGTTTCACCTCCCCCTCCTCTTGCTTCCCATGGAGAGGACCCTTATCTCCAAAAGGATGAGGGCGAAAACCAAAGCATCGAGCATGGAAGTCATGCCCATGATCATTTCAGAGGAGCCCCCAATCATTGGGACGAGAAAATCAAGGAAGTACAAAATCAACTGGGTGATGTCTTTCAACGCCATGTAGGAAGGGACCCGAGACTGTAGAACATGGTAAGGCATATGGATACGTCTTTCAAGCCTGATGTAGCGAACTACCCCCTCCCTCAGAAGTTTAAAAGGCCATATGTGGAGACTTTTGATGGAACAAAGGATCCACTAGACCACCTCGACAGTGGTTTGCTAAGCTCTCCCCCGCCTCCATTGCTTCCTTCGCTGAGCTTAGCAGATCATTCGTTTCACATTTTATTGGAGGGTGTCACCACCAGAAGCCTATTTCGCACCTACTCAGTATAAAGCAGGACTGCGAGGAGAGCCTGAGAAGTTACCTCACTCGTTTTAACTAGAAGGTACTCGAAGTTTATGAACCCAATGACAAAGTCACCATGAACACCTTTCTGGGAGGCCTCCGCTCATCCATATTCCTTTTTTCAGTAATGAAGCAACCACCAAAGAGTATGTCAGAACAATTGACAAAAGCTCAAAAATATATGAACGCTGAGAAAATCAACAGGTCTAGGCGAGGTAAATCATCTCGCAGATCTCCAAAAGCTTGACCTACCTCTGCACTATTCTCAAACAGGCAGTCTCAATATCCAGCTTAGCGACTCCCTCACAGGTCGCCAAAAGCTTAGCTTACCTCTGTACTGTTCTTAAACAAACAGCCTCAATATCCAGTTTAACGACTCTCTCGTGGGTCGCTAAAAGTTTGGTCTCTACACTGTTTTCAAATAGACAGCCTCAATATCCAGCTTAGCTACTCTCTCGTGGATCGCCAAAAATTTGGCCTCTGCACTGTTCTTAAACAGACAGCCTATATCTCCAGTTGAGCGGCTCTTTCACAGGTCGCCAAAAGCTTGGCCTCTGCGTTGTTCTCAAGCAAACAACCTATACCTCAAGCTTAGAGCCTTTTTCATAAGTCGCCAAGAGCTAGGTTTTAAAAGGTGTAACTCTCTCACGAGCAATTCTCCAACTCTGTCTTTGCTTTCGCGCAAGCAGCCTACTTCTCTCTATAGGTAATTATGTGAGATATTTTAATGTTTAGAATAACATTATTTTTGTCTTCACAATAAGGTAGTCCCAGGCTCGTCCTAGGCACCCAACACCTCCTAGGCGCCCAGAACCTCCCAGGTGCCTAAAGGAGGCAGCCCAGCACCTGAAGAGGTGTATGCTCGCCCAAATGGAGTAGCCCAACACCTAAAGAGGTGCTTGACCCCCTCTGCTCATCCAAACGAGGAAGCTCAGCACTTGGAGATATGACTGCCCCCATTTGCTCATCCAAACGAGGAAGCTCAGAACCCAAAGAGATGCTTGACCACATTTGCTCGCTCTAACGAGGCAGCCCAACACCCGGAGAGGTGCCTGACCGCTTTTGCTCGACCAAACAGGGTAACCCAACACTTGGAGGGGTGCCTGACCGCCTTTGCTCGCCAAAACGGAGCAACCCAGTAGCTGGAGAGGTGTCTGACCCTTTAAAGTTTCACAAAACAACACTTTTGACACCTAAATCAGCGCCTATGGTGCCCGAATCATCGTCTGGAGTAGTGCTTAGATCAGCCCTTGTACCAAGGTTGCTGCCCTGCTCTCCTCGCTACACCTTGGACTGATTTTCTACACTTTTTGCTGAAAAAATACTACTGTCCATCGCTCGTGAGCTGCCCAGGACAGTAGAATTTACGCTGCCCAGTGCGTCTAAGCTGTCCAGGACAGCAGAAATAGCACCTAGGCTGCTGCCCAGCCTCCTTGCTTGCCCAATGTGCACGCCTACTACGCGCCTGATGGTCTAGAGAGCCCCATTTTTTACCTGCACGCTGCTGTCCAGCTCCCTACTGTGCGCACCCATGCTGCTCAGCTCCCTATTTTGCGCGCCAAGTCTGTCCAGCACTCTACCCAAGCTGTCCAGCTCATTATGCTGCGCATTCAAGCTGTCCAGCTCCCTTTTCTGCGCCTAAGCTGTCCAGGACAGCTCTTTCAGTTTCCAAGCTGTCCAGGACAGCCCTTCCAGTGCCTAGGCAGCCCCCTGCACTCCAAAAAAATCCCTTAAATCCATCCAAACCAGCGCCTACCACCTCCCTTCTTTCGATCTCCACCACTCCCTCTTCAATCAACATTGTCCACTTGAAAACTCCACTCGAAATGGGTAGAACTTGAGTTCTCAAGATTTTCAAGAGGTGAGTGCTCAATCTCAAAGTGAATGAAATGGGTAGGATGAATGAGATGGTTATATTTATAGGTTAAGGTTTTTAAAGAGGAAAAAACTCAAATTGAAGGTTTTGAGCTCTTCTAAAAATCCTAGCAAAAGTGGAAAAAACTTGAGGCATGCAAAACAAAAATGCATTGTTGAGGGAAAGAGTCATTTAGCAGAGGAAGTTTCCACCACTTATAACTCAAGGAGCAAATTAATGCACCCTTCTCCAAGTTTCCTTGAACACGGGGCATTGGGGGGCAAATGATGGGTTAAGCTCAAATGGGTCAATCTATGTGGAAAGTCAAATCCCAATTGAGGAGTCCAACCTCATTTAAAGATCCACCAAGCCCAACATAACCCAAGACCAGTTAGATTCTTTGCTTAGCCACATTATCAAGAGGGAGAACATGGGAAGCCTTACCTGCACCGCCGAAGGAAACGGTCCACCTTCACCGTATCTTTGACCGTATCCCATGGAGAGCACCGCAACTGCCTAGTCCATTGAGGAGAAGTCATGAGCTCCACCGGAATAGTTATGTAGTTGCTAACACCACGCTCAAATCTGTTAGAAGGACAATTATAAATTGTGAGCTCCACCAACACTTGGGGGGCATGATGAGCACCACACTGATTACATGGGCATCACACTTTCCCTGAGCATGACTCTCTTCTCTCCCCAAAACTTGTACTCTCTGCTTTCAACACCCTTAAATTAATAAAAGACCCGGCAACTAGAGTCATTCAAGAGTGGACGTAAATCGAGTTGACCGAACCACTATAAATTGCTTGTGTCTCTCCATCTCCTTATATTATTTATTGCATTTATTATTTACACTTGACAGGTGGTGTGCAAAACTATTTTGTGCATTATTAAAAAATAATAAATTTAATCCTAAAAAAATAATAAATTCTACCTAAAAAATAGTAATAAGTTAATCCAAAAAAAATTAGTGCACCACAAAAATCAGTAAAACTTCACCTAAAAAGTGGTATAAATTTATCAAATTTTAGTCATGGATACAAACACACGAACGCAATCTATTACGAAATCGAAAATAATACGGCTATTAATATAAATAATAAATAAGTTAATAACTTTTTAGAATTAAATAAACGTTTTTTTAATAAATACTATCACAAATTAAAATAAGACGATATAAAAATAACATAACTCCAAATAACTTGACACAAGGTGATACGACGGACGATCCTTTTTAGACGTCCATGTGAATGATTGGACATTGTGTATAATCAATTCGGATTTAAGCCAAAAACGAACACACACCGAAAAACGCACGTTCTGGCTTAAAATGCCCACCCCTAAACATTGTGTAATTTTAATTCCTACCCCTCAACTTTTTGAAATCATTAGGCGGATGTATGGAGGAACCCTTGGCCAACGCTTTATGTATACAATATACACAACTGAACATACTGCAATTATTACTTGTAGACAGCAAAAGAAACATACAGGAAACCAGAAACCGTGAAAAGAGAGATGGATTGGTTGGTTTCGATGCCGAAGGTGGAGCTACACGCCCACCTCAATGGGTCCATCAGAGACTCCACTCTACTGTATGCTTTCTCTGATTTCAACTCAATTAAGCACTCACACACACACTCACATTCTCTTATGTACCCACTTGGGTATCCCTTTTACTTTGGCTCTCATGACTGAGTGGTTAATTTATCTCATGTTTAGATGTATTGTTTTAGTTTGATTTGGATATCAGAGGACTTGCCAAACATTTGGGTGAAAAAAGGAACCATGGTTGACTCAAGAGTTAATTGTCTATAAACACCCATGTACACTTATGGATATCACTTCCTGGCAGCTAAAAACAAGAAAAGTTGGAAACTTTTTGATTCTGAAGTTTGTATGTGTATTTATGTTAATTTTAGATGTTTTAAAGGTTAAAATTTGTTCTCCAGGGAACTTGCTAGGGATCTGGGTGAAAAGGGTGTCATAGTTTTCTCAGATGTTGAGAATGTTATCCTGAAGAGTATGTCCATTTTCTGTTCTTTTAATTTTCCTCTTGAAAGTTGTAGTTTTATTTATAGTTTTTTCAGGGAAATCAGTACTTAAAACTGCCTTTCACATTGTATGTAGCTGATCGTTCACTTATCGAAGTGTTCAAGTTGTTTGATCTGATTCACATCCTGACTACTGACCACAAAACTGTTACAAGAATTACCAAAGAAGTATGAAATCCCTCAGTTTAATTTTGTCATATGAACTTGAAACAATGATTTATTCATGTTTTCCATGAATCAGGTTGTTGGAGATTTTGCGGCCGAGAACGTTGTTTATTTGGAGTTAAGAACAACTCCGAAGGTACTTAAAAGAGTGATTTGGGAATTTGCTTTGCTTACCTATAATTTGTTCTTTCATTTTCTATTAATTGAAATGACTGGTAATTGTGCACCTGAAGGCATTGTGATTATCTTCTTGCTTTGGATGAGGGGGAGAGATGTGGTCTGTTGGCCATGTCTGTTGGTGTGTGTTTTGTAAACATAGTCTGTGTTTGTAGATCATTGTTCATTTGATCTGGATATTTGTCGGATTTAATTTCATGCGAAGATATTGTTTTCATTGATAGAAAAAATCATGGGTTTCTTTCCATGTAGAGGAATGATTTGATAGGGATGAGCAAGCAATCTTACATGCAAGCTGTGCTGGAGGGTTTAAGGGCTGTGTCTACTGTGGAAGTTGATTTTGCTTCTCATGAATTGAGCACGGAAGTTCCTGTGAATTCTCCTGATATGAATGATGTCTGCCACAGAACCGAAAGAAAGAAGATATATGTTAGGCTTGTTCTCAGCATTGACCGTCGTGAGACTACTGCAGCAGCGATGGAAACTGTATGTTATCAGAATTTGATAACAAAGTGTTTTCTAGTTCATATGCTGTTCAAAGACTAAGGCTTTTGCTTTGCCTTACCGTGCTGTTTAAAGGTTGAGCTTGCACTGAAACTGAGGCATATGGGGGTAGTGGGTATTGACCTTTCTGGCAATCCTATCATTGGTGAATGGTACATTTTCCTACCAGTAGTCTTGTATTGTCGATTATTATTTTATTGCACTTCGTTTGTAGGTGTTTATCCTTGATTTTCCTTGCATCTATGGCAGGTCAACATTTTTGCCAGCTTTGAAGTTTGCTAGGGAGCAAGGTCTGTTTATCACTCTCCACTGTGGCGAGGTGCATTTGGCTTAACCCTGTTTCTGAATTCTTGTTTGTATTATGTATAGAATTACCCTGATTAGTGTATTTTATTTCATAACTTAGTGCTTTTAGGTACCCAATCCGGATGAAATTCGGGCAATGCTAGACTTTCAGCCTAGAAGACTCGGCCATGCTTGTTGCTTTGAAGAGGAAGAATGGAGAAAGTTGAAGTTGTCCAGGATCCCGGTTCGATATTTATGTCCATGCCTATCCTTCATAGATATTCTATTTTTCTTTGGCCTGCTTATAATTGATGTCGTGGCAAAGCCAATATACCACCAGTCCTAATGCCTAATAACTTGTGCGTGCAATTTTTTTCTTTTCTTGTCATTATCCATCAGGCACTTCTCTTCTATTCTGTTAGAGTATGCGCTAAATGCTTTTTACTTGTCATTGACCAAGGTTTTTCCTGCTTTTGGGGTTTAAGTGTTTTGCAATGAAAATAATCGAATAGAATTGCAAGCGTTAGTGATGTGTGAAAAATGATTTGTGTGCTATAGTTAATAATCATCAACCCATCAGCCAAAGTTTTTCTGATCCAACGTATATTTTACCAGCTAAACATTTTTTGTGATCATTGCAGGTTGAGATTTGTTTGACATCCAATATTCGAACTGAAACAATCTCTTCCGTCGATGTTCATCATTTTGGTGAGATGTTATAATTCTTTCTGGATTCTCTCTCTCTCTGTCTCTCTCTCTATACTTAATTCTTTGCTTCAAGTGAAATCTAGAGGTAGAATCAAGAAAATTTTAATTTTACTTGTTTCTCTCTTTGTACTAAAACTTCAAAAAGGTGAGAGTTCACTGATGATTATGACTTTTTTTTCATACATTTCTGTGGATAACTTTGGTGTCTCTTCTGTAACACCATGTTTACATTGCAGCTGATTTGTATAATACAAAACACCCAATAGTCCTATGCACTGACGACATGGGTGTGTTTTCTACCAGTCTTTCTGACGAATACATCCTTGCTGCATCAGCACTTGGTAGGTCTTATAATATATTTGCATGTAAATGGAATGTGCATTGGTGCTTGTATTTTCTCTAACTTTTGGTTCATTTTCCAAATTTATTAAGGTCTTGGAAAAAGGGAGATGTTCGAGCTAGCAAGGAATGCCGTTGACTTTATTTTTGCTGGTGATGAGGTGAAAAAGAAATTGATGGAAATTTTCGCTTCAACTGCTAGGATGCTGGATTTTCAGTAAGAATTTCATTGAGCTGCAGAAAAACCTCTTTCATTATGGTAATATTTAGCATTGTTTAGAAACAGTTGGCAAAACCATTAAATTTATGTGGAGGGTCAGTCAGTGTGTCTTGTATCAGTTTCTATCAATAATTGCAGTGAACACTAACTTTGCTGAGAAGAGGTCTTCTTGGTAGCTCTAATGGAGTTTTATTAAGCTACTGCAGTGGGGTTGTTTTCATTGCTTTCTGCTAATTTTAAAGCATAAGTATCCAGTTGAGTTGTTTGATCTTTTTAGATCGAGATTGGGTTAGTTTATGGACTTATAGTTCTGAGCTGTCAAGTAAATCCTAGTGAAACAATGGGGTGGGCACTTGTCTGTAGACTTTGCTGCCTCATTGTTCTCTTTTGTTTAAATGGGCACTTGTCTTCATGAAAGAGAATTTGAGGCACAATTGATGTGTCAGTGCTGGTGAATGAGGTATTTATCATCACATTTGATGTTGGTAGGGTCATGTCATTGTAATAGTTTTCATCATATGGCCTCTGCAATAAGAAATATTTGAATGAGAATGTAGAGAAAGCCACCTCCTTTGTTATGGGAGAACCTTTGAAGAATGAGCGTATGCAGTCCATCGTTGCGGGGTTTGGAAATGATTAAATGTACATAGTATTACTTTACAAATTGAGAGACTATTTTCGTGACTCGAATCTGTGACCTTTATGCCATAATGAAATAATCTTACCATCAAGAAGAATCATTTGTTAGGATGAAAGCACTTGTTCTCTTGGAATAAAGAAGAATCTTTTTAATAGTTAGAACACCAATTTATCAAGAATTAATTGTCGCCATTTTAAAACTTATTTATCAAATTACTATTGCTGTCAAAAAAAATGTGAATTGAGAACACACTTTCAATGAAAAATATAAAAAAGTATGTTTTCAAAATTTAATAAACAAATTTAAAACTATGATGTTTGGTAAATAAATTTGAAAACAATGGTAGATTGATAATTGACCCAATACATCAAGGGCTTATTTGGTTGGTTTTTTGAGAGGGATTTAGATTGGTTTGTTCAAACCCTTTCAAATTCAAAGATGGAATTCAACATTTAATGTCGTTCATACTCATGTTTGGTATGTGCACGGATATATGACTATTGTGATAATATATTTGTATTTAAATGAGTATTGTGTTCTTTAATCAATTTAATTCAAACTCATATTTGTTTTACGTAAATGAGATATATAGGGTATAAATGTCATTTGCTAGTTTAAACTCATTAACCCACATATCAAACCCACTCCCTCCAGCGGGTTGCATGCAACGCATGAACTTGAGTTTAATTCTCGGGTCTAATGCGGCTTGCGTTTCAAACCTTAGATTAATTATGCATTTATCAAATATGGGGTTATTGAATTTTATTTTTGAACCCATATTTCAAAATCCTCCAAACCCACCCTACCAAAAGGGGTGGAAGTGTGAAGTTTCTGATCATGGATCTTGTAGTAGCTACCAGTATCAAGTGGGTTTGGTTCTTTATTAATTTATTTTTTTCTCAGTTCCTTGTCTTTCATATCATTCCCACATGTGAATGATTTACTAATAAAAAAATAAAAAATATATTAAAAGAGATCTCGATAGGATATGAACTGCAGAGTGAAGTTTCAAACCCATATATCCATGATCCAGGAAAGTTTCAAATCTATAACAGAGCAATGATCATTAAATCAAAGTTTACAGACTCTTTGATATGAGTCCTGACCAAATACCAGAGGAGTATTAAATTGGGGACTGTCATTGCATCGAACGGTTGCTGTGTATTTAATTACTATCTCTCCCTCCTTCACTTTATTTTCTCGGAAAAGGTTACCATATCGAAAGAGAGATCGTACAAAAAATTATAATAATTTAGGTTAAGTTATAATTTTTTTTAAGGTATAAGTTATAATTTTTTTGAGGTATAAATTACAATTTTTAAAAGTCAAGTTACAACTCAAAAAGAAAAAATTATAATTGGTCAGGATAAATCTATGATCGATCATGTGTATCTGTGATCGACCATAAACTTCTCTCTTTTAAATTGTAACTTTATTATAAAAGTAATAACTTTCGGTATGATACTGTATACGGTACTAGAGAGTTTCCCTATTTTCTTTCTGGTTATAAATCACTTACTATTAATTTAAAAAGGATTGATTGTCTATAAGTGAATCTTTTAAAATTAATTGAAAATATGTTAAAGAGAATTTAGATCGTTTATGTACCATGTGTGGGCCTGTTTGGAGGTATGAAAACTTTATCTTTTGTTGGATTCAAAGAAAAAGAAATCTGGTTCGTTTAGATTTAGATTTATTAAACGACTTTTTTATTAGTTTTTTTAGAGTTTTTATTAGCACCAAGAAAAAGTTAAAAAATCGGGCTTATCCAAAGACTTTAAAAAAAAAATCGATTTTTTCAGAAACACTTTAAATGAATCCAAGAATCTTTTAAACTATAATTTTTTTATTTTACTTTTCAAATCTTTGTTTCGCACTCAAAAAATCAGCTCCAAATGAGCCCGTTGTATTTTAATTAATCAACGAGGTTAATTTTTCCGGAGAAAATAGTCACTTATCAAGGTAGAGTTTGTCTTATTAATTTTTTTGAAAAATTATCATTTAATGGTATCAAAGTTATGATTTTGTGAAAGTCTAAGAATTTTGATCTATCTTAGGATTGATCTCAAGGTTTTTTAGTTTAATCTTTTTTATTTTAAGTCATAACTTGATCGAATTGGATTTTTTTGACGTTTTATTCAAAAATTTCTTTGCAACACTAAAAAAATTCCTCTTCTACTATGTTTGCAAGTCACCCAAAGAGAGGACAGTAAAGAACTCAAAAGTCAAATGTAGTGGTTGGTTGAGTATTTGATTACACACCCATTCACAATATTAAATGTCGTGTGGTATATGCTTGAGTCTTGATCCTCTTTTTGAGTCTTCCTTTAATTTTAAAACAATGCTAGAAAACTCTTATTAACGGTGTATGTGAACCAAATACTCTTAAAGAGGGAATCTTTAATTTATCATTTGTGGTGCTATAATGACTGGTTTGACTCTCTTAAATCAATAACTAAATTTATATCGAACTTTCTCTGATGAGCGAAAATTTCAAAGTAACGTCTCTGCTAATCATATACTCTTAGAGGGTGAATATTCAATTTGTCATATGTGGTGTTATAACGATGAGTTTGGCTTTTTTAAGTTAATAATAATGGTTTAAATCGAACATTTTCTAGCGAGTGAAAAACTACAAAATAACATTTTAAGAGGTCATTACGTTTGATCTGATCATCCTGGATCACCCTTTTTATCAGGAAAAAAAAAGGAGACGACTCTTATTAACAGTGGTGGTTTTAAGAACAGAGTTGTGCTTATAAGAAGACACTCAATGACGGTAACTTCTAAGTGATCCCCTATTAGAGTCTACTCTTAACAGTTGTATAATGGGTTTCTTTCTCTCATCGTTTAGGGTATGGTTTATAGTAAAAAAACAAAAAATAGAGAGAGAAGGGAGGGGGTTGGGTTTTTGGATTGTATGTGAATTAGACAACTGTTGAAGTTGCTATCATTTTAATGATTTGGTGGATTATAATTGCTGGTGTGAAAGTGATCTCATTAAATATGAAAATGCACAAATTTTGGAAAGAGTATCAAATACAAGCAAAGCTATGAATTTCTCTAATCTTCTACACTCTACAGAATAAGAACAGTGGAAAAAGTATCATAAATGAAAACAATAAATAATTACATTCTTTTAATATGATATATATATATGGCGGGACTCTAGTTGGCTCTACAGCCCCCAGATTGACATGTAAAATGACGAAGCTGTTGTAATGTCTATGAGGCGCCGAGGTATGGTGTCCCGGAGGAGCCGAGTACGACAGCTGACACTACATTTAATACGATATAACCTTTCATTTATGACAGAATGAATGATGGTGACAAAACTATTAAATGTGCGCCTGCGAGCATCTGCAGTCTGAGAGTCTAGACCTACCATCATGATGGCTACTACGCCAAGTATATATGATCAGCGCTCCCAGAGAAAATGTTTTCCCGAGTATTCAATGCTCACCTGAGGGTGTCAGACGTCAATCTGGGAGATATGAATATTCGGAGAAGAGCATAAATGCTCAACATGAAGCCGGACAATTGTCCCATCATCCTAGCATTGAATAGGAAAAGACTTGAGTGGAGAACACTCGTTGCACGAGGGATGACATGTTAGACATTAAATGTCCAGATGAGATTGAAGGTCTTTGACAATCATTGTTAATTTAGGTATAAATACTCTTTAAAAAAATTGACAAAGGTACGCAAGATTGAACAAAAAAAAAGATTATTGATTGAGCTTGAACCTCAAATCTTAAGACTGACTTAAGTTTCGGAGGTGATTAGCCGAATGTTCACCTTACCCCTTTTTTTTTGACTCTGTGATTGTGTCAGGTTCATTAAGTTTGAGGTCGCTATCTCAAACTATTGCAGAAATTATCCCGTACAATGTGTATATATATATGTAAAACACTATTACATTTTGGGAATAATATATTAGATTTGTTTAAAACTGACTTAAAATCTCAATTTTTTTTTCTAGAAGAAAAAAAACCTAATCTGTTTAGACCCGGATTTACGGAGAAGTCTTTTCATTAATTTTTTAGGCAAAAACAATTTTTATGTCAGGTGTTTATATACCCAAGTTGTTACTCTGAGCTCAATAAAAACATACAATACTTTTGAAATTTTTTGTCCTGATAAACTCTTATTGGTGGGATTTTAAGATCTCTGATTGCGCTTGGAATATCTCTCAGAACCAGACTTAACTAATTGACATAATGACTAACTACCAAACCTCCATAAAAATTGTAAGACTCGAAATCTCAACATCAAAGTAAAGAGTAAAGCCGATAATCCCATTAAACTACCTAGTTGGTGATTATAGTTTAACTCTTTATTTTACCTAATAAATGTAAAAT